TTATTACGGTGAGTCTATATATTCTAAATAATTACTAATAGGATCCAATCTTCATCACTTTAGAATCTACCATCCAAGCTTTAGAACCTGTGCACTTAACTAACTGGTAGTAGAATCTTATAATACTTTAATTGACCTATAATATATTATTTTGAATCCCCTTACTTGTTTCAGCTTCTGGACACCACCAATAGCCAGAATATCTATCAAATTCTTCTTGAAGAACAAAGGTAGCAACTCCAGCTGATCTAGGATCCTCTTCTATGTTGGCTAGCTCTAGACAAATATAAAAGGCAAAATTATCACAGAAAGCTCTCTATCTTTTCATAGATACAAAGCAAAATGATTTGGTTTATTTTGAAAGCTGGAGTATAGTGGTGAACTCTGGAGCCAAATGGACTGAGTTGAGATCGGGGCTCCATCATTTACCCACAGTCTGACCTTTGGTAAATCATCCAATCTCACTCCACTGCAGTGTGCCATCTGTAAATGAGAATAAGAGCCTACCTACCTTGTAAGGTTGTTACGAGCATTAAATTAGTTAATTCACACAAAACACTTAGAAGAAACCTTGGACCATAGTACATTCTCCATATAAATGTTAGTTATTATTTTCTATTTAGCCAAGATCATGGAAAAAAGAATACATGGAAAAGACTGTGATGTAGGGGAAACTTGTAACTCTCCTACACAGAGAAGTGCATCTTTAGAACTAGAATGAATCTTACAGGTCAGGTATTTCAACCATTCTTCCTTCCTCCCATTCAACCACAGCAGCTCAGCTTTTATCTGTTTTACACTTAGGTTTCCAGCAAATAGTTTAAAGGGAACTCTTGCTTTAGAAATAAAATACAAAGCCACAACTACATAAGACTTCGTGTCATGGGGAAATGTTTACAATATACTTGAGTAAAAGAAATCACATTACTAAATAGTATGTACATTGTGATTCCATTTATAAAAATGTTATACAAATTTTTTTTTAAAGTTCTGAGATTTAAACCAAAATACAGTTATCTTCAAGTAGTAAGACTATAAGGTTTTTTTGCTTTATAATTTACAAAACTGTAAATGTATTGTCTATTTTTGAAAAATGAATATACTTATATGACCACATCCCTATCAAGACATACAAAATTTCCAACACCCAAGAATGTTTTCTCATCCTCCTGCCCAGTCAATGCCCACTCCTGCCCCAGAAACAATCACTGATCTGATTTCCATCACCATAGGTTAAGTTTTACATGTTGTAGAATTTCATGTAAATGAAATCATACAGTATATAGTTTGTATTTGGCTTCTTCTTGAGATTCATCAATGTTTTTATGTATGTCAGTAGTTCGTTCCTGTTAATTGCTGAGTATTCCATTGTATACCATAGTTCTTTTACCTGTTAATGGATAGCTGGGCTGTTTCCAGTTTTGGGCTATTATGAATAAAGATGCTATGAACATGCTTATACAAGAATTTTTGTAAACATGTGTCTTCATTTCTCTTGAGTTAATACCCAGGAGTGGAATGGCTGGGTAGTATGGTAAGTGTATGTTTAACTTTATAAGAAACTGCCAAAAAGTTTTCCAAAGTATTTGCATTATTTTATACTGGCAACATATGCAAAGTTCCTCATCAACATCTGGTGTTCTCAATCATTTTAACACATTAACTGACACGTGAGTTGTATTTAACTCATGCTGGTTTTGAGCCCGGGGCCACATGGAGCATATGTAAGTCACACATCTCCACCTTGGGAGCTGTCTGAACCATTTTTCAAGTTGCATATAACTCATACACAGAAAACAATTAAAAAAAAAACAAATTTTTCATTAAATTAGAAAGAATAGTTTTGTTTTCAAAGCTTTTATTTTATCTTCGTAATAAAACACCATGGCCCCAAGGAAGTGGCAGTCAATGTGTTAACCAGCCTAATGGATGTGTGTAGTAACATTTCATGGTGATTTTAATTATTATTTTTTTCAGAGACAGGGTCTCACTCTGTCCCCCAGGCTGGAGTGGCAAACATAGCTCACTGTAACCTCGAACTCCTGGGCTCAAAATATCCTTTCGCCTCAGTCTCTCAAGTAACTAAGACTATGAGCATGTGCCACTATG